GCTACATCTGAGCAGGTGTTCTAGTTTATCTCCGTGCATGTTCCTTGGTTGGAGTATCAGTCTCAGAAAAGATCCTAAGCCCACAATTCTTGGTTCCGTTGCTCTCCTTGTAATTATGATCTTAGCCACTTTGATAAGTGTAAGATGGAATCTCAGAATTGTTATGATTTGCATTTCTCCGATGACTAAGTATGTTGAACATTTCTTTAAGTGTTTCTATACCATTTTATATTCCTTTGTTGAGAATTCTCTGATTTGCTCTATACCACATTTTTTAATTAATTACACTTTATTCACTTTGTATCCCCCCATAAACCCCTCTCTCCTCCTCTCCCGATCCCACCCTCCCACCCCCTTCTTCACTCATACCCCTCCCCAAGTCCACTGATAGGGGAGGTCACATTTTTTTAATTGGATGATTTGGTTTGTTGGTGTCTATTTTCTTGAGTTCTTTATATATTCTGAATATTAGCCCTTTGTCAGATAAAGGATTGGTGAAGATCTTTTCACAGTCTGTAGGCTGTCATTTTTTTCTGTTGACAGTGTCCTCTGCTTTACAAATATTTTTCAGTTTCAAGAGGTCCCATTTATTTTTGTTTTGTTTTTTATACATTTTTTATTTTTTATATTAATTACAGTTTGTTCACTTTGTATCCCACCTGTAGCCTCCTCCCTTGTTCCCTCTTAATCCCACCCTCTCTCCCTCATCTCCGTCCATGCCCCTCTCTAATTCCACTAATAGGGGAAGTCCTCCTTCCCTTCCATCTGACTCTAGCTTATCAGGTCTCATTTGGGGTGGTTGCATTGTCCTCTGTGGCCTGGCAAGGCTGCTCCTCCCTCAGGGAAGGTGACCAAAGAGCTAGTCACTGAGTTCATGTCAGAGACAGTCCCTGTTCCCCTTACTCGGGTCCCCACTTGGATACTGAGCTGCCATGGGCTACATCTGAGCAGGGGTTCTAGGTTATATCCATGAATGTTCCTTGGTTAGAGTATCAGTCTCAGAAAAGACTCCTATGCTCATAGTTTTTTGGTTCTGTTGTTCTCCTTGTGGAGCTCCTGTCCTCTCCAGGTTTTAATATTTTTTTTCATAACATTCCCTGAACTCTGGCCAAAGTTTTGTCATGAGTCTCAGGATCTGCTTTGATACACTGCTCGGTAGAGTCTTTCAGAGGCCCTCTGTGGTAGGTTCCTGTCCTATTTCCTGTTTTCTCATTCCAATGTCAATCCCATTTGTCTTTCTGAGGTTTGATCATCTTACCCAGCGTCCTCCTTCTTGCTTAGCTTCTTTAGGTGTACAGATTTTAGTATGAGGTCCCATTTATTAACTGAATGAAGATCTTAGAACTTGAGCTGTTGGTGTTCTGTTCAGGAAATTGTCTCCTGTGCCTACAAGTTCACTACTCTTCCCCAGGTTTTCTTCCAACAGATTTAGTGTGTCTAGTTTTATGTTGAGATCTTTGATCCACTTGCATTTTAATTTTATGCAGGGTGATAGATAAGGACCTATTTACATTTTTCTACATGTGCTCCATTTAGACCAGCACCATTTGTTGAAGATGCTATCTTTTTTCCATTGTACGATTTTGGCATCTTTGTCAAAAATCGGGTGTCAAAAGGTGTGTGGGTTTATTTCTGGACTTTCTGTTTGATTCCATTAATTCACCAGTGTGTTTCCATGCCAGTACAATGCAATTTTCATTACTGTTATTACACTTGAGATCAAAGATGGAGATACCTCTAGATGGTCTTTTATTATAGAGGATTGTTTTAGCCATTTTGGATTTCTTGTTATTCCAGAATTTTTCTTTCAAGTTCTGTAAGAATTGTGCTGGTAATTTGATGGAAATTTCATTGAATCTGATTGCTTTGGTAAAATTGTCATTTTTACTAGGTTAATTCTACCAAGCCATGAGCATGGAAGATCTTTCCATCTTCTGATACCTTCTTCTATTTCTTTCTTCAGAGACTTGAAGTTTTTTTTTTTTCATACAAGTGTTTGACTTGCTTAGTTAGAGTTACACCGAGATATTTGCTGTTTTTTTTTTTTTTGTGGTTACTGTGAAAGGTGTTGTTCCTTAATTTCTTTCTCAGCCAGTTTTCCTTTTGTATATAGGAGATCTCTTGATTTTTTTTTTTTAGTTAATTTTGTATCTAGCCACCTGACTGTAGGTGTTGACTGTAGGAGTTTCCTGGTAGAATTTTTAGGGTCACACATGTATATTATTGTATCATTTACAAATAGTAATATTTTGACTTCTTCCTTTCTGATTTGAATCCCCTTGGTAGCTTTTAATTGTCTTATTGCTCTAACAAGAGTTTAAGTAGTATGTTGAAGAGATAAAGAAAGTGTGAACAGCCTTGCCTTATCCTTGATTTCAGTGAGATTGGTTTCAGTTTCTCTCCGTTTAGTTTGGGTGTACATATTCAGAATTGAAATGTATTCCTGGTGGAATTTTCCTTTGATGAGTATGAAGTGACCTTCCCATTTCTTTTGACTAATTTTGTTTGAAAGTCTATTTTATAAGATATTAGATTGACTACTCCTGCTTGCTTCTGGGGTCTTTTTGCTTGGAAAACCATCTTCCAGTCCTTTACCCTCAGGTAATGTCTATTTTGTGACTTAGGTGTGTTTCTTGTATGCAGTAGATTGTTGGGTCTTGTTTACTCATCCATTCTGTTAGTCTGTGACTTTTTTATTTCATAGTTGAATCTATTGATGCTAGAGATTAATGAAAAGTGAGTGTTAGATCCTTTGATTTTGCTGTTAGTGTGGTAGTGTGTTTGTATGCTTGGCTACTTTTCATTTTGCTGTAGTGAGGGTATTTATTTCCTGTGTATTCCTGAATGTAGTTAGCAGTCTTTGGTTTATTTTTCCTTCTAGTATTTTGTATAAGGCTGGATTTGTGAGTAGATACTATTTAAATTTGTTTTTGTACTTATCTTGTTTTCTCCATCTTTGATGATTAAAAGTTTTGCTGTGTATAGTAGTCTGGGTTGACATCTGTGTTCCCTTAGGGTCTGCATGAAATCTGCCCAGGCCCTTCTGCCTTGCATAGTCTCTATTGAGAAGTTATGTGATTCTTTTTTTTATAATTTTTATTTTTTTATATTTACAGGTTATTTACTTTGTATCCCATCCATAGTCCCTTCCCTAATACCCTCACAATTCCATCCTCCCTCCCTCAGCTCCTCCCGGCCCCTCTCTAAGTCCACTGGTAGGGGAGGTCCTCCTCCCCTTCCATATGACCCTAGTTTATCAGGTCTCATCAGGACTGGCTGCAATGTACTCCTCTGTGGCCTAGCAAGGCTACTCCTCTCTCAGGGGGGAGGGGGCAGAACAATGAAAAGCAAGGAAATCATGAAAATTACAGGCAAATGGTAGGAACTAGAAAAGATCATTCTGAGTCAAGTATCCTAGAAGCAGAAAGACACACATGGTCTATACTCACTTAGAAGTGGAGACTAGACCTATAAGATAGGATAAACATAATAAAATCTGTACACCTAAAGAAGCTAAACAAGAAGAGGTTCAAGGGTAAGATGATCAATCCTCACTTAGAAAGACAAAAGGATAGACGTCGGAAGTAGGAGAAAACAAGAAATAAGTGTGATTCTGAAGGGTTTGCCATTACATGTTATCTTGGTCTTTTTCCCTTGCAACTTTTAGTGTTTTTTTCTTTGTTCTGTATACTTACTGTTTTGATTATTATGTACCGATTTTCTTTTCTGGTCTAATCTATTAGATGTCCTGTAGGCATCTTGTATTCTTACAGGCCTCTTCTTTAAATTGGGGAAATTTTCTTCTATGATTTTTGTTGAAAATATTTTCTGGGCCTTGCAGACAGGAATCTTTTTCCTTTATCTTCTTCTTAGGTTTTTGTCTTTTCATGTTGTGTTGGATTTCTTGGTGATTTTATGCCAGTGATTTGTTAGTTTTAATATTTTATTTGACAGATACATTGTTTTTCCCATTGTATCATCAACACCTGACATTCTTTCTTCCATCCCTTATAGTCTGTTGGACATCTTTACTTCCATAGTTTATGTTTTATTCCCTAATTTCTTTCCATGATTTCCTCCACTTATGTTTTCTTTAATTTTTTCCATTTTTGTCTTTTGATATTGAACTGTTTTGTTGATTTTCTTCATCTGTCTGTTTGTATTTTCTGTAAATAGGTATGGTAAGTAAGCCAGTGGAAAAAAAAGAATATATATGCCAGGTGATTTCATTTCCATGAAATATCAAACAAAATTAATTATAAGACAAATCAGAGTATTCATTCTTACTCAGACTATAGTCTGGTGTACAAGCATTAGGAGAACATTTTGCAGTGCTAGATATATTCTATAATGTATGTTGTAATTTGCAAGCACATTTTATGTAAAATATCATTAAGATATGAATTTGTTAGGATTGTGCTTATATATTATAAAAAATATATTTTTAAAGATCTGTGATGAGAGGGAAAAGTATAAAAATATTTGTTTTTGTAAATATTGAGAGTTGAACATAATTATAAAAATATGGGGAAATTTTATCTATAAAGTGTTTAATCTCATTTTCTTAAATGAAAATGTAATGTGTAGTGATTAAATATATTGGAGTCTACTATAGATGTGAAAACATATCCAAGAATAACATTAAAAGAATATTTAATGTTGGGCCATTATGTATAGGTACCCTCAAGAAAATGTTAATTAATAGAATTCGAAGAATTTGAGAAGTAGTTCTAAGGAAATAAGTAAAATAAAATAATAGTATGGTACATAAAACTCAATTTTAATGGCAGATTTAGTCAAACTGTATTGGAATCATTATAAATGTCATGGGTAAATGCAATTTGTTAAAAGATAGTTACATTCATTTTGAGAATACATTTCCTTAATTAAGAAATCAAAACAATATTGGAAATAAGGTTCTATTGATATATATTATGTTACATTACATAAATAAGTTTTATATCAACAATAAGCACTAATTTACTTTTCTTATTTTGTAGTCTGATCTTAACTATGAAAATGAATCTGATTTAATAAATGCGGTAAGTGCCTTTTTAAGACTTTTTAAAAGAAAATATTTTTATTCACTATATTGTTCATTATAGTTCAGTAAATAACTTTACTTCCTTTACTACTGTGCATGTGTTATGTATATATAGTGATTATTTAATGTATATTTATTATTATTTTGTGACATACAAATAAGGTTGAATAAAATTAAGTATTTTATACAAAATATTTTAGGTTGTAAGAGCAAAACTACAAATGTAGTGAGGACTGAATACTAAAATGTATTATTATTTTCTGATACTAATACTAATTTATTAATTAATATTTCTGACAGTTCCCCAGAAGCAGAAAGACACACATGGTATATACTCACTTATAAATTGATATTAGGCATATAATGTAGGATAAACAGACTAAAATCTGTACACCTAAAGAATTTAAGGTAGAAGGAGGACCCTGGGTAAGATGATCAATCCTTATACAGAAAGGCAAACTGAATAAACATCAGAATATGAAGAAAACAGGGAACAGGACATTACTGTACCACCGAAGGCTTCTTACAGACTACCCAGAAGGGTACAGAGGCAGATGCTGAGACACAGTCAAATTTTGGGCAGAGTGCATGGAATCTTAAGAAAGAAGGGGAGATAGAAAGATATAGAGGGGACAGGAGCTCCACAAGGAGAGCAACAGAATCAAAAAGAAAACATATATGAGTGCAGGGGTCTTTGCTGAGACTGAGTTGACATACTATTATCACACACATGCACAATAAATAAATAAATGTAAAAAAAATAGTAGAAATGAAACTGATTAGATCTCTGAGTTCTTTTTGGAAAGCTGGAAATCAATTTTTCTCTTTAATTTTCTATAGTCCTAAGGGAGCTAAATAACAAAAGAACCCTAGGAAACATACTCAATCCTCATTGAGAAGGGCAAGCTGGATAGACATCTGAAGCGAGAGAAGACTGGGTACAGGACAGGAGCCTACCACAGAGGACCTCTGAAAGACTCTACCCTGCAGGGTATTAAAGCAGAAGTGGAGACTCATAGCCAAACTTTGAGCAGAGTGCAGAGAATCTCTTGGAAGAATGGGGAGATAGAAAGATGTGGAGGGTGCAGGAACTCCACAAGGAGACCAACAGAGCCAAAAGAAACTGGGCCCAGGGTCACTTGCAGAGACAGATGCTCCAACCAAGGACCTTGCATGGAGAGGACCTAGACGCCCTTCTCAGATCTAGCCCATAGGCAGCTCAGTATCCAAGTGGGTTTCCTAGTAATGGGAACAGGGACTGTGTCTGAGATGAACTCAGTGGCAGGCTCTTTTATCACTTCCCCTTGGGGGGGTGCAGCCTTTCCAGACCACAAAAGAAGATGATGCAGCTAGTCCTGATGAGACTTGATAGGCTAGAGTCAGATAGAAGGGGAGGAGGACCTCGACTATCAGTGGACTAGGGGAGGGGCATAAAGGAAGAAGGGGAAGGGAGGGTGGGAATGGAAGGAGATGAGGGAGGGACCTACAGCCATGATACTAAGTGAATAAATTATAAGAAATAGTAAATAAAAAGAATACTTCCTCTTGGTCCAGAGGAGAAAAACCTTCAATAAATATACACTATTTTCCAAATGCTGTGTGTAGCAATAAAAATGTAAAAAGCCTGAGAGTATGGCCTCACATAACTGTAACAACCCATCTCAAGTTTGGGCTGAATTTTAGTTATGGTAATATCAAATTAAATATTCTTTTTTTGAGAATATCAAACCTGTAGATATAATATTTGTGATATTTATAAATGATATTTTAAGTAAAGTCTGTACTAAATTGAAGTAATTATGAAGGATTATATACATATGTATATATATTGCATTCTGAACTCTTTAACTTCTTAAATAGGTATATTTTCCTATGTAACTTACATTCTCAAAGGAATATATACAAAAAGTTATAAAGTCAGTATAGTTGTAAACATCTGTAATCCAAGTACTCTGTATGATTACAGAGGATTATGACAGAAAATCCAACTTGAACTACATAGCAAGACTGTCTTGAAAAAATACCAATTATATTTATTCATAGGGTTAAAGGTGATATGAAATCTTTCTGTGTGTTTTTGTCTCTCTGTGTCTGTTTGTCTGTCTGTCTCTCTCTCTGTCTCTCTCTCTCTCTCTCTGTTTGTGTGTGTGTGTGTGTGTGTGTGTGTGTAGACACACATGTCTTTTTATGGAATGAATCAAGCCAATTAACATCCATCACTTTACATGCCTATCATATTTTTCCCATAGTACTCCCAAACATTGAATAGACTACTTTCTTAATGAAGACATGGAAATACTGACTCTCCAGTCAGTAATTCCTAGAGAATGATGATGGGTGAAGTAGGATAGGGCATAGAGTATGTTTCTGTCAGATAAGAGTACTTTTCTTTGATGCTCCAAGAGAGTTTTATTAGACTTTAATTAAACAAAAACAAATCAACCAACAAACAAAAAACTGCAAGGCAGGGAAGTTATAATTATCCAAAGCTGCAGGAGAGGATTGAGTAGAAAAAAGAAACAAAACCATCCTGTTTGAGTTAAATAGAAATAGGTGTCAGCCATTTTGAAGATTAGTAGCTATATGTCATGGAGGAGTGCTTTAGAGAAAGAGTAAAGAAGAACATATTTAGGCTCTGGCCAACATCTAAAAGAGACAAATAAAAACAAAAATTATACCTCTCTGAGTGGTAAACTCATCAGAACTTCATGGAAGTTTATACAGGCTGCCAAGGAATTGTACAGGCTGCCAAGGAATGCATTTTGGAGAACTAATCCATTATATGGTGCCTGTAATTAACAGTAATTGTATTAATGATTAATTGTTATACATATATTTCAGAATGGTTAGGGCAAATTGACTTTGTTCAAAACTGTATACATACATACATTATTTGCTGTGAACTTTTACAAATTTACTATTGTTCAGGGCTAACATATAGATTTAATCACTAAAATTTGTTTTCTTTTGAATATTTTTTTAATTTTTATTAATTACACTTTATTCACTTTGTACGCCCTCATAGCCCCCTCTGTCCTCTCCTTCCAATCTCACCCTCAATCCCCCTTCTCCATGCATGCCCCTCCCCAAGCCCACTGATAGGGGAGGTCTTCCTCTCCTTCCTTCTGATCCTAGTCTATCAGGTCTCATTAGGATTGACTGCATTGTCTTCCTCTCTGGCCTGGTAAGGCTGCTCCCCCCTAAGCGGGAGGTGAGCAAAGAGCAGGCCAATCAGTTCATGTCAGAGACAGTCCCTGTTTCCATTACTATGGAACCCACTTGGACACTGAATTGCCATGGGCTACATCTGTGCAGGGGTCTTAGGTTATCTCCACCAATGGTCCTTGTTTGGAGTTTCTGTCGCAGAAAAGACCCCTGTGCCCAGATTTTTTGGTTCTGTTGCTCTCCTTGTGGAGCTCCTGTCCTCTCCAGGTTTTACTATTTCCCACTTCTTTCATAAGATTCCCTGCACTCTTCCCAAAGGTTGACCATAAGTCTCAGCATCTGCTTTGATACCCTGCAGGTATCAAAGGGTAGAGCCTTTCATAGGCCCTCTGTGTCAGGATACTGTCCTGTTCCCTGTTTTCTCCTTCTTCTGATGTCCATCCTCTTTGCCTTTCTGAATGGGGATTGAGCATTTTAACCAGAGTCCTCCCTCTTGATTAGTTTCTTTAGGTGTACAGATTTTAGTATCTTTATCCTATATTACATGTCTAATATTCACTTATGAGTGAGTATATCCCCTGTGTGTCTTTCTGCGTTTGGGATACCTCACTCAGGATGATATTTTTCAGTTCCTACCACATTTGTTTTTTAAAAGGTATAGTTCTCTAATTTTATTTCAGTCTTGTTTGGCTCAAATGGTTGTAGGTACTCATGTTTTAATATTCTATTTGGTAATACCTGAGAGTTGCATGTAGTGCTTCAATTATGTTGCATCTTCCAAAAGTATCTCAAAATTTCCCCATAATAATAATAATTACTCAATTGGCATCTATAGACTGTACATAAGAAAGGTAAAGGAATGATGACTTTTGGAAACGTGAGACAGTGCTTGAAAGTTTTTCTAGTGTGTGGCCATGGGTGCTTCTCCATTAAGCACTCCCTTTTCATTATCAGTGTTTCACCCGTAATAAGGTCAGTAAGAGCCTTCTACATTGAATATATCCGACATTAAAGATAAGAATATTAAAATATCCAATATGTGTGTAGGATTTAACAATTTAAATACTGTACTTTCCTTTGCCCATTTATTTACTTAAAGGCAACATTATACAAACTATATATTCCCTTACAATGCTTGAAAATTGCTTACATGGCATGATAATTGTCAACAATACATATTTATAGAGCTCCATATGCTGAGTTATGTGTAAACTATAGCTCTCACATCCACATTGATATGAATGATAACTAGGTAGTTAGTTTACTGGTTTAACATTTGTCATTCTACTAAAAAAAAATTGAAATTTGTTTCTTTTAACCTTATTATATTCTTTAATTAGTATTTTAGATACCATGCAAAATAATGGTTTTTGTTGTTACTATAATACTTTTGTTGCTACAACCAAATACCTGACAAAGACACAACTTAAGGAAGGATTTGTTTTGTTATATAGTTTAAAAAGGAATACAATCCATCATACAGCAAGGGCATAGCTGCTGTGTACACTTTGTTCATAGAGATGAACCAAAAAGTAGAAAGGAAATGTTTAGGCCTACCTTAAATCACACAGCCCCGTATCTACCTCCCAAAGGTTCAGTGTTCTTCTAGAAAGCACTTACTCTTGAAGAGTCATTGGTCAAACACATGAAATTATGGGGAACATTTCATTTTCAAAACATAACAATGAAATTTCTTAACTGTCATTAAATAATCCAATTTTTAACTATATTGTCTTGAAACATTAAAATTTACAGTGTTTAACTCCCTTAATTAATATTTATAGAATGATATTATATTCATAAATATTCACAAATATTTATAAATTTTTGTAAATGAATATGAAAGTATACAAAAATCTTTGCATAAGATGTGTTTTGAAAGCAAACTGTAATGAAGGGATAAATAGATAAAATATATCTTACTTTTTATTGTGATAAGATACTTAGAAGCAAGGAAATTTATAAATGAAACAGTTTTGGGGGGGGCCTTACAGTTTAATACGGTGAGTCCATGACCATGGGCAAACCATTGGAGCCAATAGGCAGGCATGGTGTTTGAGAAGCAACTGGGACCATATACCCAATCCACATGCCTGATAGAGTTAACTGGGAAGGATGTGGAGTTTTGAAACATCAAAAGCTACCCCCAGTGACAGACCTCCACCAAAAAGACCACATCTCATAATTCTTCCAAAACAGTTCAATTAACTGTGGAAAAAGCATTCAAACATACGAGCTTATGAGGGCCATTCTTCCATGAAAATGCTTTTTCAAAGCAATTCAACATGTATAATGTATTTCAGCCCTTCTACACTCCTGCTTATAATAAGCCCATAGCATAAATGAGAATATCTGAGAAATTTAACCTAGATTTTGAAACTATACTTTTGACTCATTTTACCAAAATATATTTGTTGGCCAATTGAATGATTTTTTTTTCCATTTTGTGAATCTTGTAGTTTCTTTTTGATATTTACTTGTTTTAATGGAAATTTCATACTTGCACTGTGTTAAAAATGGTGTATCATGTATTTTTTTTTCTTTTTTTTTTTTCTAGTGCAAGGGTGTGAATAAAATGTGTCACTATATACTTGCTTTACCACCTGATTTTCCTAAACCAGAAACACAAGTTCCAGGATATGTTCCCTGTGAAGAGAGGCCACTTAGGTTGCAAGTGGTAAGCAATTTTAAACAAAGATTTGGCATTAATATAAAGTATTAATAAAAGATTTTAAAGCATCTCTAATATTTTCTCTAACAAAGATCACTTGGATATGTTTTGTTTTTCTTCTAATATTTCAAGTAAATACACTATGCAAAATAAAATACCTCATTTTAATATGTAACTGTTATTTAAATTTTAAGTAAATTCTTTATATAATTGTGAATAGAAATACCAACTTGATTAATCATTCAGATATTATTGGACTTGGATGGCCATAAATTTCAATTATTGAAAGTAAAGCTGATATAATTTTCATAAATATCTGGTTATGGTGACAGTGTGCAATTCTGTAAAATTAATGCTATTCTTAAATTACAGATGATTTATAACAAATTAAATTGTGTATTTCTACCAGTATTTGGAAATGTGTATGTGTGTGTTGTGTGTATGTAAAATAGGTTTTCTCTCTTGTTCCTGTTTCTGCTAGAATCAAAGGAACAATTAATAATTTGTGTTAATTGTTGTTTCCTTATATATAGGAGTTGATAATGACAGCAGAGGTCACTTACACTTCTGTACTTCTATTTTTTTTTCCATAGTGACCTCTCAAACAAATTATTGCATATACTATTTTAGTGATTAATTCCTAGTGTAAAAATTGAATTATGATGATTTTAATTTAAATGTTTCTTCTATAAATAAGGTTTTAGTATTTATCAGAGTTAAAAAAAAGAGGATGATAGGAATCTGGTGCATATAAAATCAAATTATAATAACCATTGATATAACACATGTAACAAGGGAGGACACTGGTTGTCAAGAGCCTAAGCTTTATAAAATAAAAATTACATACAAATTGAATATTCATAATGGGAGAAGTAACAAATTATTAATTTTTAAAATTGTCAATATTGCACATATACTACTCTCAGGGCCTTGAAAAGTGGCCTGTTCCAGAGACAGTTCTAAAACTTAACCTTCAGTGGCCTGTTCCAGAGGTGGTTCTAAAACTTAACCTTCATTGGTTTCATGGTAATTTCATCCTTGAAATTAGGCATGTTTTTTACTCTTCCTACTTTTCTCTGGTTCCACTTCTTAACAGTTTTTCTATTTCCGTGGACACAGATATCCTGAAGAAGAAAGCAACTCTGGAAGTCAAACATAAATACTGCATAGATAAGGCTTTTGTGTTGGCAAAGACTATATTAAGCTAGTATAATTGCCTCTATATCAGCTACCTGAACTATTCTTGCCATATATTATTAGGCACTGACTATTAAGTAATAATAATTATTTTTCGATGGTTTAAAATATAAGAAAGTTGATTAATGCCATTTATTTTAGGTTGTTTGTTTGTTTGTGTAACATAGTCTCATGTAGCATATGCTAAACATGAACTGTTTCTACTTCCCAAGTGCAGGGTTTTAAGTATGTTGTCATGTCTGGTTTGAATTCTTATGATTGGAGGCCTAAAGAAACCTAACCAAAAATATGGGCATTGTAGACTACTGTTAGAATAAGTAATATGTTTCCTAACTTCTCTGGGAATGTTTTTTATCTCCAAGGAAATATACTGATGCTTTGGCATTATGTGTTCCAACATTTCATCAAACTCATCTTTTCTCTAAGATGTCTTCTTCATACACTTTTTGCACACTTGATGTTTATTTAACTGTGATTATTTAATCAAGGATTATGAAGTGCAAAATTTTTATTGTGATGTATTAAGTTTTACACAGTCTGAGGCTTGTATTCAATGATAATTTCCTCCACAGTTTTTTTTATCAATGTATATATTTTTTTAATTTTATTTTGCTTTTTAGTTACATTTTGTTAACTCTGTGTCCCAGCTGTATCCCACTCCCTCATTCCCTCCCCAACCCCACACTCCCTCCCTGGTCTCCTCCCTGCCCCTTTCCAAGTTCATTGATAGGGGAGGACATCCTCCCCTTTCATTTGACCCTGTTTTATCAGGTATCTTCAGGGCTGGCTGCAAAGTCCTCCTCTGTGGCCTAACAGGACTGCTCCTGCCCTGGGGGGGGGGGGGGTCAAAGAGCCTCCCTTGAGATCCTGTTAGAAATAGTCCTTGTTCCCCTTACTTCGGAAAACTACTTGGTTACTGAGCTACCACGGGCCACATCCGAGCAGAAGTTCTAGGTTATATCCATAGATGGTCCTTGGTTGAGTGTCAGTCTCAGAAAAGACCCTGTGCCCGGATATATTTGGTCCTTGTAGATCTCCTGTCCTTTCCATATCATACTAAATCCCCTTCTTTCATCTGATTCCCTGCACTCTGCCGAGGGTTTGGTTATGATGTTTATCATATCTTGTAGGTCTATATAAGTGAGTATATACCATGTTTGTCTTTCTTCTTCTGGGATACTTCACTCAGAATGATCTTTACTAGATCCCACCACTTGCCTACAAATTTCATGATTTCCTCCTTTTTGATTGCTGAGTAGTATTCCATTGTGTAAAAATACCACAATTTCTGTATCAATTCCTCCATTGATGGACATCTAGGTTATTTCCAAGTTCTGGCTATTACAAATAAAGCTGCAACAAACATGGTTGAACAAATGTCCTTGTTGTGTACTTGAGCAAATTTTGGGTATATACTTAGGAGTGGTATAGCTTGGTCTTGAGGTACCACTACTCCTAGTTGTCTGAGAAAGCGCCAGATTGACTTCCAAAGTGGTTGTACCAGTTTACATTCCCACCAGCAATGGAGGAGGGTTCCATTTTCTCCACAACCTCTCCAGTATGTGCTATCACTTGAGTTTTTCATCTTGGCCATTCTGATGGGTGTAAGGTGAAATCTCAGGGTCGTTTTGATTTGCATTTCCCTAATGGCTAATGAGGTTGAGCATTTCTTTAAGTGTTTCTCTGCCATTCGATGTTCCTCTTTCGAGAATTCTCTGTTTAGCTCTGTTCCCCATTTTTTAAGTGGATTACTTGGTTTGTTGCTTTTCTGCTTCTTTAGTTCTTTATATATACTGGATATTAGCCCTCTGTCAGATAAAGGGTTGGTGAAGATTCTTTCCCAATCTGTAGGCTGTCTTTTTGTTTTGATGACAGTGTCTTTTGCTTTACAGAAACTTTTCAGTTTCATGAGGTCCTATTTATTGATTGTTGTTCTTAGAGCCTGTGCTGTTGGTGTTCTGTTCAGGAAGTTGTCTCCTGTGCCAATGAGTTCTAGGTTGTTCCCCACTTTTTTTTACAACTGATTTAGAGTATCTGGTTTTATGTTGAGGTCCTTGATCCACTTTGACTTTAGTTTTGTGCAGGGTGATAAATATGGATCTATTTTCATTTTTCTGCATGGAGACATCCAGTCGGACCAGCACCATTTGTTGAAGATGCTGTCTTTTTCCATTGAATGGATTTGGCTTCTTTGTCAAATATTGAGTATTCATAGGTGTGTGGGTCTATTTCTGGGTCTTCTATGCGGTTCCATTGATCCTCCTTTCTGTTTCTATGCCAATACCATGCAGTTTTTATTACTGTTGCTCTGTAGTACAGCTTGAGATCGGGGATGGAGATACCTCCAGATGATCTGTTGTTGTACAGGATCCTTTTGGAGATTCTGGGTTTTTTGTTTCTCCATATGAAGCTGAGAATCTTTTTTTCAAGGTCTGTAAAGAACTGAGTTGGTGTTTTGATGGGAATTGCATTGAATCTGTAGATTGCTTTTGGCAGGATGGCCATTTTCACAATGTTAATCCTACCAATCCATGAGCACGGGAGATCTTTCCATCTTCTGATATCTTCTTCGATTTCTTTCTTCAGAGACTTGAAGTTTTTCTCAAAAAGGTCTTTCACTTGCTTGGTTAGAGTCACACCAAGGTACTTTATGTTATTAGTGGCTATTGTGAAGGGTGTTGTTTCCCTAATTTCTTTCTTAGCATTTTTGCCTTTGGTATACAGGAAGGCTTTTGATTTTTTTGAGTTGATTTTGTATCCTGCTACTTTGCTGAAGGTGTTTATCAGCTGGAGGAGTTCTCTGGTTGAATTTTTGGGGTCTCTCATGTATACTATCATATCATCTGCAAATAGTGACACTTTGACCTCTTCCTTTCCGATTTGTATCCCCTTGATTTCCTTTAGTTGTCTTATTGCTCTGGCTAGGACTTCAAGTACAATGTTGAAGAGATATGGAGACAATGGGCAGCCTTGTCTTGTCCCTGATTTCAGTGGGATTGATTTAAGTTTCTCTCCATTGAGTTTGATGTTGGCTATATAGGCTTGCTGTATGTTGCCTTTACTATCTTTAGGTATGTGCCTTGTATCCCTGATCTCTCCAAGACTTTAAACATGAATGGGTGTTGGACTTTGCTTTTTCCGCGTCTAAGGAGATGATCATGTGGTTTTTCTCCTTCAGTTTGTTTATGTGGTGGATTACATTGATGCATTTCCGTATGTTGAACCACCCTTGCATGCCTGGGATGAAGCCTACTTGGTCATGGTGGATGATATCTTTGATATGTTCTTGGATTCGGTTTGCAAGTATTTTATTGAGTATTTTTGCATCAATGTTCATAAGAGAGATAGGTCTGAAGTTCTCTTTGTTTGTTGGGTCCTTGTGTGGTTTAGTATCAAGGTGACTGTGGCTTCATAGAATGAGTTTGGTAGTGTTCCTTCTGTTTCTATTTTGTGGAATGGTCTGAGGAGAATTGGTGTTAGCACTTCTTTGAAGGTCTTGTAGAATTCTGCGCTGAAGCCATCTGGTCCAGGGCTTTTGTTGGAGGGGAGCCTGTGAATGACTGCTTCAATTTCCTTGGGAGATATAGGGCTATTCAGTCTTTCTACCTGATCTTGACGTAATTTTGGTCGATGGAATCTGTCAAGAAAGTTATCCATTTCATTTAGATTTTCAAATTTTGTGGCATATAGGCTTTTGTAGTATGACCTAATAATTGTTTGGATTTCTTCAGTGTCTGTAGTTATGTCCCCATTTTCCTTTCTGATTTTGCTGATTTGGATAGCTTCTCTCTGCTTTTTAGTTAGTTTGG